GATTTCAATTCCGATGACCGACAGCTTCTTACGAATAAACCCCACACCAAAAATAGTGCCGACACCTGGCCTTATTTATGCAATTTGCAAACTTTTTGGAGTGGAAATTAGAGATGAAGAATGGGTTTACCCTATGAAACCCATTATTAAGGCAAATTTAAAAAATTATGAAACCCATGAGAAATGGAGAACTGGGAGTAGAAGTCAAGAACCTTATACTAGTAGAGATGTTCCCTCTACAAGTTTTTACCTTCCACATTCTAGTTCCCCTACGCTCCCTAATTTGATGAATGAGTTGACCTTACAGTGGAAGAGCATAGAATTGATAAATGAAAGGATTGGAGGTTTAGAACTTCGATATGATTATGATAGTGAGTACCTTCAGAGGCATTCAAATTTATGAAGCTCAAACCCGACACTACAGAGGAGAACCTGATGTTACGTTTCTTGAATGCCCCCAATATACTCAGTATTAACCCAATGTATTAACCCAATCCACCATTAACCCAATCCACCTGCTGGTCAAGGCAATGATGGCATAGTTTGGGATTTTGATATTTAAATGTAATTGATGTACTTTTATTAATACTTTTATTTCTGTAATCTTTTTGTAATAGAAATGGATGTTTATGTGTATTTGGACTGTCATTTTTATTATTACTTTGTACTTGGATAATTTTAATTTTTGTTATAAAGTTAGTGTTATAATTAAATGTGCATGTGTAGTCTAATAGATGTTGAGTAGTATTTTGTCGATTGTAATGTAATGTGATTGTAATGTGATTTTGTGATTTTTATTTCGCATTTTAATTTTAATTGTTTTGTTAGTATTGTGTTTGTGTTAGGAAACATTGTGCTTGTTTATTATTTTAGTTTTATACTTATTTCAAAATTTCATTACCCAGATATTTCTCTAATAATTTATATGTGTAGAAACCTCCTAATATTATAGACCCGGTGAAGTAGAAATTTTAAGAAGGCCTGCAAAAATTTTAGAATGATGAAAATGCCTAAAATACTGAGGTATGATTTATATTCAGAGTTTTTCTTTCCACCTGTAATAATTTATATTGAAAAATTTAAGTTTGGGGGAGGGAAGAAAAAGATTAACTATTAGATTTCCTCTATTTCAATCTTTTCAAAAATTATTTATATGATTCTATGTAGTGAATTTAATTCAGGTAACTATATTTTTGTAGCTATTTAAATATTATGGTAGATTTAAAGAAATATTTTTGTAATGAAAATTAATTTTGTAACTTAAGATATTTAGTATAAGAGAATAAGATTA